CTGAGTGACATACATAGTGAAGCATTCCTCCATCATATCTGAGTGACATACACGGTGAAGCATTCCTCCTTCATATCTGAGTGACATACGTAGTGAAACATTCCTCCATCATATCTGAGTGACATACACGGTGAAGCATTCCTCCTTCATATCTGAGTGACATACATAGTGAAGCATTCCTCCTTCATATCTGAGTGACAAACATGGTGAAGCATTCCTCCACCATATCTGAGTGACATACATAGTGAAGCATTCCTCCATCATATCTGAGTGCCATACACGGTGAAGCATTCCTCCTTCATATCTGAGTGACATACGTAGTGAAACATTCCTCCATCATATCTGAGTGACATACACGGTGAAGCATTCCTCCTTCATATCTGAGTGACAAACATAATGAAGCATTCCTCCTTCATATCTGAGTGACATACACGGTGAAGCATTCCTCCTTCATATCTGGGTGACAACATAGTGAAGCATTCCTCCATCATGTCTGAGTGACAAACATGGTGAAGCATTCCTCCATCGTATCTGAGTGACATACATAGTGAAGCATTCCTCCATCATATCTGAGTGACATACATTCCTGAAACATATCTCGGAGACACACACGGTGGAGAACTCCGACATGAGGTACACCATGTTGACTCTTTGTGTAATAGAAGTAAACCAAAGTATGTCCCCAGGAATCTTCAGCTGGAGCATGCCGACACAAGGAACACTTCTCCTTTCACAAGGCAGTGCTAATAGAGGGCTACATTCTACAAACATCACCTAAAACCATTGCCACAGTTTAACCACGGTTCCACGGGACCTTGGTGTTTAGACAATAAATTGGCTCGTGTACAAAGTAATTCTAGCATGGACTCAGCAAAAGTTGGCCAAACATTGTCATAGCTTGGGCTCGGGGCATAGAGGGTTGGGGGCAGCTCGCGTAAACATGGACTCACGAAAGAGGTCAATTATGTTGCAATTTTTCTGTTGATAAGAAGGATGTCTTTTTGTCAAGACTTTGTTACCCCTTTTAGGTACATCACCTCATCTTGTAGTCCGGGGAAACAGGCATCGGTCAGAAGGAATGCGTCGATATAAACACTGAAGGTCACAATAGCATGTCAAGGTTATGTCGAGGGGGAAAGGTTTGTTTTAACCTCATTTAGGATACAGGTGCGAGAAATGTCAACACTGGCTGTAGAGACAACGTCTCGGAAAAAACATAGAGAGCTCGGAGGAATTGTTGGTTATTTTTAAGCCCAACAGAGGAACGAGTTTGACATTGCGAATGGGTCAATATCAAACAAACAGGGGCAGTTATTGACTGTTCGCGGTTCTTGGTGGTGCGTAACAGTAAAACTCTAACATGATCTGTCTCTGTTTGAGTGGAGTGTATTTAATGAAACCTATTCGGATAAAATATTTAAATTACAGTTCGTAAACACATGGCATCCATGGGGGTTCCGGATACTCTGTGTGGCGGACAAGACAGAGGATGCTGTTCAGTCATGGACAACCAAACATAGCTGTGTTATAACTGAGCACTGCTATATGGATCATATCCGATTCCCGGGGTGTATTTGACGTATTGCGTTTTGACGTATGATGACGTATGGTAGGGCAAGATGATCGTGGTGCGGGGTCATAATGACATGTTGGGGCGTGGTCAAGTATAGGGCGTGATGACGTGTGCCAAAGAGGAGCGACGTACGTAATGGCGTGCGTCGGGGCGTTATGTGGTTCGTAATGGTATGTTGGAGTATGTCATATCGAAGTGAAGTGCTGGGGACTTTGTGAGGTATGTAAGGACGTGTCGACGTACACCTAGACGTGGTGACGTATGTTGGGGTAGGGTGAAGTATATCACGAGTTGGTGATGTATGTCGGGGCGTAGTGACGTATTTTTGGGGCGTGGTGAGGGTATGTAAGGGCGGTTGACGTATGCCAGGACAATGTGACGTACGTCTAGGCAAGGTGACGTATGTCAGGATTTGGTGACGTATGGTCACTGAGTCATAGGGATTGATTACATGACAAATATGGCCGCATGGGCGTGAGTTGTAGTTATATCTATTCATAGTTATTTGTGATTAAACAATATTGTCAGTGTCAGTGACAAAACCTTTGCACATTGTGTGTCCAATATCGATATGGCAAATAGAATACATGTTTCCAGCTGCGGATTGGTTTAGTTGTTAACGTCAAATCTTGGCCCACGTTCGATTCCTATATGAATGGTTTACATTAAGCACACTCATGGCGTGACCCGCCTCTTATGACGGCAATGATTTGCATACATGCTTTGTAAACACTATCCAGTATGGCGGAAAGTTCACTTCGGCGTTCCTGTTTGCGTATTTCCTAAAACATGTTAAACGATTCTAGGGTTATTGGCGTCGTCTCAGAACGACCATTTGTGCTTTTATAAATCACAGATACCCGTTATCACTGATGTGTCTTTGTTTGTTATTGGATTATCCAAATAAGTATCCGCCATCTAGATTTCAAAACAACGCCTAGAATCGTGATTTGTAAAATGTTAAACAGTAATGATTATTACGAGGAACCTAGTTTTCAGAGGTCGTATTCAATAACTGTGCTCTGCTCATAATGATAGTGGATGGTATCATGGGACAGAAAGTTTCCTGCAGAATTCAAAACAGTTAAGGGTATTTGTGTACGTGGTGCAATTTGAGTTTTATTCAACTTTTAAGGGCGGGTTGAAGAGGATGGCGTCTATGTCCTTCCGGCATCCAGGGGGTTAACAATCTGTCAGCATATCCCGTTTTTAATTATCAGATGATACGAAAAAGCTTTTCTTCCATAATACAACCAAGTATAATAGTCTCATATTCAAAACTCTCTGTCAAAAATTATAGATATATTTCCTGGTACAGTAAGTATCCACACTTTACACAAGTTAAGGCCTATCAACAACATTCAATCTGGTTTTCGCCGGCGCTGACTAACACAATATTTCAAACTTCTATTGTGGTGGTTTTCTAATGTCCTGTTGTCACACAAACAGGTTATACTTGAGTTTACATCCTTCTTCAGTGAACACGTGACAACCACTATTGTCATCGCGTTTTATCTAGAAAGCGATTTGGTTTGGTATTGTCTGAGGTATATTGCCTTATTTTCCTCGGGAAATTTTCCTCAACACCACGTTTGCAGCTTGAGTGATATTCAGTCGCACGAAAAGTAGAATATAATTGAAGGGGTCCACATAGACGTCAGCAGAACATGGCATTACTAAGAGAACCAGACTCTAACAGGCATGAAACTTGTATATTAACCTGGAATGTGGGCTTCAATGTCACCTTTATATGGGATGCCATGCGGCTACCAGATTCAAGGTGACGCGACAGTAACAGTGTCCAATAGATATGGGTTACAGGTAATTGGCAGATCGCCGCCGGGACGGTGCGAAACACCATCTGCACCTGGTCAATAGTATTAAAGGAAACATTCTTCAACTAGTTATAATGATAGTATGATGTTAACAGCAAAATATGATGTGCTGGTTGGTTGGTTGGTTGTTTTACGCCGCACTCAGCAATATTCCAGCGGTCTGTAAATAATCGGGTCTGGATTAGACAATCCAGTGATTGATATCATGAACATCGATCAACGCAATTGGGATCGATGACATGCTTCAACCAAGTCAGCGAGCCTGACCACCCGATCCCGTTAGTCGACTCTTACGACAAGCATAGTCGCCTTTACGGCAAGCATGGGTTGCTGAAGACCTATTCTACCCCGGATCTTCACGGGTCATATGATATGCATGAAGTGATAATGACATTATGCTGTTAACTTCCAAAGGTGTTATTCTTCCACTTGTGATAAAGACACCATATCCGACGTTAACAGTAAAATATGACATGCGTTAAGTAATAATGGCATTAAGTCAACATTAAAATGTGAAAAATATGCTGCGACTAGAGAGAAAGGCAATTTGTTGTTAACAGTGTAAAGAAAATATGCTGCAACTAGTGAAAAAGGCAATTTGTTGTTAACAGTGTAAAGAAAATATGCTGCAACTAGTGATAAAAGCAATTTGTTGTTAATAATGTAAAAGAAAATATGCTGCAACTAGTGATAAAAGAGACTTGTTGTTAACAGTGGAAAAGAAAATATGCTGCATTAGTGATGAAGGCAATTCGTTGTTAACAGTGTAAAAGAAAATATGCTGCGACTAGTGATGAAGGCAATTCGTTGTTAACAGTGTAAAAGAAAATATGCTGCATTAGTGATGAAGGCAATTTGTTGTTAACAGTGTAAAGGAAAATATGCTGCATTAGCGATGAAGGCATGTTGTTGTTAACGGTGTACAAGAAAATATGCTGCATTAGTGATAAAGGCAATTTGTTGTTAACAGTGTAAAGGAAATATGCTGCATTAGGGATGAAGGCAATTTGTTGTTTACAGTGTGAAAGAAAATATGCTGTATTACTGATGATGATTTCAGCTGAAGGGACGGTCTGTCAATAATCGTCAGACAATCCTGTGATTTACATCATGAGCATCGATCTACGCAATTGGGATGCAATGACATGCATTAACCAGCCAGTCTGACTACCCGATCCCGTTAGTCGACTCTTACGACAAGCATAGTCGCCTCTTACGGCAATCATGGGTTGCTGAAGACCTATTCTACCCCGGATCTTCACGGTTAAAAAGATTTATAACAGTTGGTATTAATGACAATTGTAATTGAACACACGCTGCAACCAGTGATGACGACTTACACCACCAGTGTATTGTAAGATGCAACAGCCTGCACAGGTCGATGCAAGATCACGACTAGCTGTTTACAAAAGCGATCCCTGTCAGGGAACCGTTGTATTATCTCAACTGGCGGTAAAGTAAACCCTTCGTCTCCTGCCCCCACGCTTACCTTACAACCCCCCCCCCCCCCCCCCCCCCCCCCCCCGACTCAAACTCAACAGCGGTCGGCACATCAGCAGCCGATCCGACAGTTTCAGTTCATCCTATCCCAGAAGCAAGTGGGAAGCCAGAGCCAGTCTGAAGTTCGCGGGTCTCTCTCGATTCCACGAAACCATGGAGACGGATCTATAACACCGACGCACATTCGAGTACGGTGAAGTACCGGTTGTACATACATGACCTCAACAATAACCCCTCGACCCGGAATATGTCTGTTTGAAATACTTCCGGTCACTGTAGGGCCCGACGTGCGAATGGAATAAGTTTATGAGAGGGATCTTTTTATTGTGGCTACCGCGGATTACCATGGCGGTGGAAGCGCTCTAGTCGATAGCACAGTCAGCGGGGACCTACAATTGATTTTAGTTGAGTTCTCACGCCCGCCGTAACAGTGGCTGAGGGGCTGCCTGTACGTAGCATGCTCGGCTTTTGAAGCGAGAGTGTTCACTCCGTGCTGTGTCTTCGTGCTGCTTGTATCGGATGGGATTACTATCGAGTGTATTTGAGGGAGAAACAGTTGACATCAGATTAAGGTAAGGGCTTGTGTTGTGTCTACACCTCAGTTACATGTACACAGTAGGAGGAGAATTATCTGCACGTTCAAACGCGGAAATGGAATAACCCACGAAATCCATGCATAACAACAAACATGGCGGCCACAACATTCCACTGTCAACGTGCTTGTTGTTTGGGGTGCTTGGAAGTGGCTAGATGGGGGAAATAGTAGGCTAGTAGAAGGTGATAGTCGACTTGGAGATCATACCATAGGATGTATGATCCCGTATCATATATCGTCGGGTCTTGGTTACAGAGTTTGTTTATGTTGACGGGTCATGTTTCTGCTTGCCTGGTTTGCGCGCACATGGCTACTTTTCTAAACTCACTGACGATAACATCCATAGTAATTACCCCAAGGTTTTATCACCCTGCGTATGTCATACTTTATCTCTGCTTTTAGCATACTTTATCTCTGTTTACACCACAGTTCATCTCATGACTGGTCCCAGCCTTGGAGAAGGGTATTGCAGGAAAGGATGGGACACAGACCAGAGTCGCATTTACTTATTAACCTTTCGAGTGTGTATTCGGGGACACCAAATCTCTTTCTAGTGTATCTCTACTTTAACATATCGTGTAATAACCATCGGCCAGTATGACGGCCCAACACACAAGTTGGTAATATGAGTCCAGTCTATGAACGAGGCAGGCATAAAACCCAGCGACTGTGCTCACTACAGTGATATAAATAGCAGTTTCATGGCTACTTGAGGAAAACGTATTTCAGTGTCTCTCATATAGTCAGCCTTGATCTAAATTCTTAGCAAAGGCGATGTGTTATTTACATAATACTTTCCGCCGTTCACTGCCTAACGTGGGCGAGAGTAGATGTCTACAGCGGGGTCACTTTGTCTAATATGGGGGAGAACGGCTGTCCCGGGTGGGGTGTACTTGTCTAATTTGTAGGGGTGAAGCTGTCTGACGTCTGGGAAAATAGCTCTGTTCGGGGTGAGGGCGGGGGGACAGGGGTGTGTGGGGGTATTTGTGTCTCGGGTGTGTGACTGTAACAGATGAGGGTCTGCCTGTCTGGGTTGGAAGAGCGCAGGGAGGGGTAATTGTGTAGGGTGGGGCAGTTTAGCTGTCTAGGGTGGGGGTCTACTTGTCTACAGTAGGGTCTAGGGTGGGAGAGCAGCTGTTTTGGATGGGGGAGGCAGATCTATCGATCCGTCTTTTGTAGGGGTGACTACCTGTCTACCGTGAGGTTGCAGCTGTCTATGGTGGGAGAGAGCTGCTGTATTAAGGTAGGGGTTTGGGTAGGTGGGTGGGGATCAACTTGACTACAGTAGAGGGGTGTAGCTGTATAGGGTGGGGAAGGAGGGCTACATACACGCCAGAGGTCAGTGAACCTCATCCGCCTCAAATACATCTGCTATCACTAATACGTGGATGGGGGGAGTTGGGGTGAGGGCGGCATCTAGACTGGTTGCGTCACGCAGGGTGAGGAGGGGACTCGGGACAACGACCTGGTATAAGTCCTCTACCACTGTATCCTCAGCATCTGTTCTCGCCATCTATACCCAACACTATAATATCAGTTCTGAGTGTGTACTCAACTCTTTATGCTTCAATTAACCCATTACTTTACATGTAACAAGGCCCAGTGAGCGACGATTCTGACATCACCACATACAGCAATCACGGCCTAGAGGAAGAATATACCCGCAGTATAAAAGGCAATAGTTTATGTGTGATGTGAGGCGTGATTTGTAATCCCAGCTGCTTACATGTTAGTCGGTGGAGAGGCGTGTTATGTACACCGCCTTTTGCGTGCTATGCTTTTATCTACATTCAACATTGGACGTATTACGTGCTGTCAGATGCCCAGCCTACTGACCGACATTCTATTGTATTTATGGCAACACTGATCTTATTTGTACACCGAAAACCACAAGGGCGCTGTACTTGATGTGCCTGTATCTGTGCACCTGTTGCTACATGCTGCGCCATGTATACATGATTGTAACGTAAAGGCTCTCTCAAACAACCCCCCCCCCCCCCCCCCCCCCCCTCCCTCCCCATGTACTAAGACCTTCATTCATGAAAGTGTGTGTGTGGTGTGTGTGAAGATATTTTGACACCCATCAGCAGGGACGCTGTCATAACATGACAACACGGAGGGTGCGATTTACCTCATGTGGGTGTACTGGGTGCTGTTGGGTGTACCTGGGGAGGATATAGACTAACACATGGTCAATGAAAACGTATCTTTAAGTTATTTATTTTTTTAAAATTGGCAAAAAAAACTTTTTTCTTCTGCTGTGGAATCACGCAAACTAGACTTGGTTAGTTTGATCTAGACTTGCCTAGGCTTTTAGTAAAAATAAATACCTAAAACATATTAAATCCACAGTCATTGTGCAGGACTAAAGAGAATGGAGCTGAGTGGAATGTGCGGGAGAAAGTGGGGCAACAGCAACTGCAACCTCAGCACCTGTCAGGGTCGTTGACCTACTTGGGGAGTTTATCTGCGTGTTACACTGTCACGAAACCTGTTTATCTAAAATACAGCTTTAGTTAACATATGTTTTTGTGTGTTTGCTCCGAAAATATTTTTCGGTTATCAGCGTACTTCCTTTTGCGTTATGACACAGGCTTACTACTGTAGAAACCTTTCAAAACCACCTCCGCCTTTCTCAATATATTCCTGTAGATTTCTTTATTTCACCTATGTTACATGCCACTTCGGCCTTTCTCAATATATTCCTGTAGATTACTTTATTTCACCTGTTACATGGACCTAGTTGGGGTGTGTGTGATAACGAACAGGAAAAAGTCAAGTTCGGCCGTATTCTTTGATCACAATAGATATAGAGGTTATCCACAGGCCCACGGATAGCCATACTATACTGACTGTACTGATTACATCTTTTTTTAATGTAATCACTACAGTCAGTTTAGTATGGCTATCCGTGGCCCTGTGGGTTATCAAGCGATAGGTTTGGCATGTTAAGTAGGAATAAACATTGTATTGAGCGAGCCTTGGTCATGTTTGTCTGTAAACGCTGAAAGTAGTACCTACCTGAACTTCCATATTTGTATCCCAAACGGATACCGTTTTTATCCGTTTGCTTTATCCTGCCGAGAGACCTACCCATTATCTGATAATATGAGTTACGTGGAGAAACAAAAGCCTATTTTAGGTAAAATATGTGTTACAACTAATTCTAACGAAGTGATCAATATCGGATTTTCAGTAAATGGTACCACGAAGTGCAAACGAGCTCATCAGATACAGATTCTGTGATGTGACAAGCAAGTGACGTCACGTCAAATATTATGACGTCATTTTTCCGCACTGGCCGGTCAGCTAACGTGTATGGCACAGCGACTGGCCAATCATATAGCTAGATTCTTTGACTAGTAATTTTGAAGATTTGTGTCATACTTCAAGTCGGTTTGCAAGGGTAGGGGTAAGAAACTGCGGGTGGACAGATGTGTGCTTGCTAGACACTGGACGGCCTGTATCAAGACAGAGAATGCAAGTTATAGGGTTCAGATTATCGAACCCACGTCTTATGACGTAAAGAACGAAATGGTTACCCATCTGCTTACCCGACTGACCCATAGTGCCCGTGACCATAACGGGTTACAATTGGTCCCCAACGACGACTCTGGTTGTCGTCCCAGGCGTCACAATGGATCGGATGGTCAAACTCGGTAGCTTGATTGATTGCGGGTCATCGTATCCCAACAGCGTCGAATTTTGCTCTTAGTATCAATCACAGGTTCGTCTGGTCCAGCCTGAAAAGTTTACAGGACACCGTCATGTAGCTTTTAGAATGGTATAGAGTTCGTCGTTCAACAAAACAATCCACCCTACTAAGGACGTATATGTATAAGAAACGACCAGAGACGAAATAGAAAAGGACCCTTTACATAGTCGTTATGATAAACGGGAACAAATATCTTAGCGAGCCTTGCGGAAACCCATGGTATTGTTCTATGAGGATGAGATATGCTTCTGGCTCTCTATAATATCTTCCTCATCCTTTCCCTCCTCTGTATCCGATGTTTAACCTTAAATAACGTTCCATAAATATGTGTTGATTTTGCATGGCTTGTATATTTACCAATCTGGGGAAGCAATATTCTATCATCTCCATGTGACCCCGGTGCAGACCTGTGTTTGTTAGTCTGTTTGTTGGCGTTCCTTGTTGATGAAGACAGTTTACACAAGCAGGGTCATCGCGGCCTCCATGGGAGTGTCTGGTCACAGTATCTTCTATCGAGGGGAATAACGTGAAGACAGGGGTTTCATTGTGAAGTAGGTCGTTCATTATCTGTTGAATGACCGCATGTTGTTTTACGCCGTCGGTAATGTTCCAGCTATTCGCGGCGATAATTATCTGTTGAAATGTTTCTCGGAGGAAACCTTACGGTGTTTTGAAAACATGGAGAAAATAATCCTTTCTTTAAATGACATGTGTTGTCATGTCGTACTGTGCCATGTCCTAACTTGTAAACATCTCAACTGACAGGGGCGGTGGGGTAGCCTAGTGGTTAAAGCGTTCGCTCGTCACGTCGAAGACCCGGGTTCGATTCCCGACATGGGTACAATGTGTGAAGCTCATTTCTGGTGTCCCCCGCCGTGATATTGCTGGAATATTGCTAAAAGCGGGGTAAAACCATACTCACTCACTCACTCACTCTCAACTGACACACGACAGATCGTTCGGCGGGTACCGTACTCCCGACCTTCACCGAGTTCTTATACGTCACTTCATACGCTGAATAGAAACAACAAACACGCAGGAAATGTTGTTTTTTTCTGTAGATCCAAACACACCACTAAGCATTGAATGTCAAGCAACAAGATGAGCGGAGCAGGTGTTACATCTGTTTTCTGCACATCGCAGATAGACACTCACGGTCATCCATTCATGACGTCATATTTTGCATGTGCGATAAGGTCTTCCCACGTTCTATGTATATAGGTATCGGGCTATGTATGTATGTATCATCATGTATCTATGTA